GCACACAAAATGGCGGCCGCGGAGCGGCGCTGGAGAGACCGGATTGGCTCGTGTGCCACTGTCCCGCCCCCCCGGGGCAGAGCAACCAATGAAGGCGGACCTTGGGGCGGTGGGGGCGGGGCGTGTATCTGGCAATACGTGGAGTGTGTGCGCGTGCGCGCGTGTGCACATGTGTGTGCACGTGTGTTCACTCGTGTGTGTGTGTGTGTGTGCTCATATATGTGTGTGTGCCCATATATGTGTTCATGTGCCCACGCGTGTGCAGGGATGTGCAGTGTGTGCACACTGCGAGCAGGGGCTGGGGGAAGGGGCCCATGCGCAGCCCCGTGGGCTGGTTTGGGTTGTTCCACCCCTGCCATGGGCAGGGACACCTTCCACTAGCCCACCTTGCTCCAAGCCCTGTCCAACCTGGCCTTGGACACTTCCAGGGACGGGGCAGCCACAGCTGCTCTGGGCAACCTGTGCCAGGGCCTCCCCACCCTCACAGCCAACAATTCCTTCCCAATATCCCATGTCACCCTGCCCTCTGGCAGTGGGAAGCCATTCCCCCTTATCCTGTCCCAAGTCCCTCTCCAGCTCTCCTGGAGCCCCTTTAGGCTCTGGAAGGGGATCTCAGTTCTCCCCAGAGCGTTCCCTTCTCCGGGTGAACCCCCCAGCTCTCCCAGCCTGGCTCCATGGCTCGGGGTCTCCAGGGCCCCTCTGTCTGCCCTCACAGGTCCCTGTGCTGGGTGGACACCCCAGGGATGGGTCTGTCATGGAGCCGCTGCCGGGAGGGATGGGGGGTGGTGTGGGGGTGTCGGTGTGTGCACACCAGGACACGGTGTGGGGGTGAGTGGAGGGTGAGCAGTTCAGGGAGGGGGCTGGGGGGTTGTGACAGGGTGGTGACACAGCGTGTGTGGGGCACTGAACGGGGTCCTGGGGGATGAAGGGGGGGCGCGGGGTGCAGCCCCCCGGCCACGCTGTCACCTACATCGGGCTGTCCCGGCGCCGTCCCTGGTTTATGGCTGTTCCCGCAGCCACACGGGTTGTGGGAAGGGCGTTTCCAGCCCCGGTCCAGAGAGCAGCGGCTGAGCTGGGCTGGGTCCCGTGGCCTTGGCATTTGCCCCAGTGCCCGAGGGGGGTGAGGACCTGGCTCTGCTTGGCCTCACCCCCACCCCACTTTCCTCTGGAGGTCGCCTGTCGCACAGCAGAGACCCCCGGGGTGAGTGGCAGACCCGCCCTGCAGCACTGCCTGGGCTTGGGGGGACAAGGAGCGGGCACTGGGCGGGCAACGCTGTGGGGTGCCATAGGATTGTGGGGTGTCCATAGAATGGCAAAACGCCACAGGACTGCAGGTTGTGCTGCTCCGACTGTCAGCACTACCTGGGAGGGGGATGCATTTGCAGCTCGTTCTTGGGGCAGCTGAGACCCTCCCTGCACACACCCTGCCCCGAGGGCTGCGTCACAGAGGTGCCTGCGGAGCTCCCGCCCACGGGGTCCCCACTCGGGGCAGTGCAGGGGGGAGACAGGGGACAGGCGGGGGACACGAGACAGCCCCGCGCCGAGGGTCTCAAACCTCCGGCACCTCCCAGTCCAGAGGAGACAATAGGACAGAGGGGCACACGGGGATAGCCGGGGGACACCGGACAACCGAGGACACCGGACAGCCCGTGGACATGGGACAGCCAGCCCTGGGGATGCTCCCATCCCCTCCCCGGCCGGGGTCCTGCTCCGTGCCGCTCCCTGGCCGGGGCACCCCCGGGGTGGGCAGAGCTCCAGCTGCGGGGAAAGAACCCCCAGTGCCCCTTCCCACTGCCCCGGCTGCCCGTGGGGGTCCCACCCAGTGCCGGGGGGATCCCGTGCACAACCCCTCGGTGCCGGGGGCAGCGGGCAGGGTGGTGGGACAAGGCCCGCAGTCCCCCGGGAGCCGAACTGGTGGTCACGCCGTGCAGCCCCGGGGTTCCCCGGACTGGGCTGCCCCGGCCGCTCCCTTCGAACCTGCCGCGGCCGCCCGGCCCCGCCCGCTGCCCTTCCGAGGAGGAGGAGAAGGAGGCGGCAGCGGCCGCGGAGCAGGAACGGAGCTGAAAGGAGCGGGACAGCCCCGACGGGGCGGGACGGGGGTCCCAGTAGTGCCCACCAGCAGGTACCGAGCGGAGCGGGCACGGGGTGCCCGGGACGGGGCTCTGCGGCCGCGCGTGGGTCCGGGACCGGAGCCGCCTCCCCTTCCCCTCCGGAGCCAGCCCGGCCACACACCCCCGCACCCAGCACCGCCCGTGGCCCAGGGTCGGCACCCCCCGCGCCGAAGGTCTCAAACCCTCGGCACTTCTCGGTCCAGGTGTCACCACCCCCAGCAGCTCCCGGTCCGGGGGTCACCAGCCCCGTCACCCACGGCCCCCGCTGCCCTCGGGGGTCGCAGCCCGCACATGCCACCGTGGGGCGAGCCAGGGGCTCGTGCGACCAGGTGAGTTCTGCTGTCGCGGTCCCAGCAGGGCCTGAGCCCCGGCGAAGGGACAGGCTGGTGACCCTGGGAGCTGCCGCGCTGCAGAGACGGACCGTCCCCACAACCTGCCGTCTCTCCCCCAGCCTTCGGGCTCATCCCTCATGCCGGGGAAGCTGAGGCGCAGCGCCCGGGGGGTGCTGGGGGAGAAGCAGTGGCAGAGCCTGGAGGAGACGGGAAGCGCCCGTCTGGGGCAGCCCAAGCTCTCCAGGTGGGTGCTGCACCTCGAGGGTGTACCTGCACCCCAGCCCCACCTCCCGCCGGGGCTGTGCCCCCGGGGTCACCCCCACCTGCTGCTCCCTTCCAGATCCAGGACTTATGACTCCCCCTGCAAGGACACAGGGCTGGTGGCCACAGGCGGGGAGGGACCCCCATCCCCCGCGGTGAGTCTCGGGGTGCCGGGGCCGAGGAGGGGGACCCCAACCCCGGCCCCAGTGCCGTGGTCCCGGCCCGATGCTCTCTGAGGGCGGGGGCCGAGGGAGAGGGCAGAGGCGGTGACAGAGCAGGGGGGCTCTGGGATGCCCCTGAGCACCCCCTGATACCGACCCCCACCCCGACCTCCCGCAGCTGAGCAAACGGGACAGCAGCTACCGCCGGGCCTTCGGGGAGCTCGCCGGGAGGGAAGCGCTGCTGGGCTGCTTCTCGTGCGCCTGGCAGAGAGAGGTGCCCTACCACGGCCGCCTCTACGTGTCCTCCCGACACGTCTGCTTCCACTCCAGCCTCCTGCTCAAGGACATCAAGGTGGGCTGGGGTCGGGGGCGGGGCTGTGGCGGGGTCGCGGGTGGCAGCTGGGGGCACGGTGACACTGGTGACACTGCCCGTGCCCCCCGGCCCAGGCCGTGGTCCCCGTCGCCTCCATCTCAGCCCTCAAAAAGACCAACACGGCGCTGCTGGTGCCCAACGCGCTCAGCATCCGCACGGCCCAGGGGGAGAAGGTGAGAGCGGGGGCGGTGCTGGGGGGGGGCGGCTCCGCCCGGGGCTGTTTGGGGTGTCCGGGTCCCCGAGGGCCCTGGGCTGTGACCGAGGGAGCAGCTCCAGTGCGAAGCCCCTTCCCCGCTCCCCGGCAGTTCCTCTTCGTGTCGCTGCGCCAGCGAGAGGCCACGTACCAGCTCCTGAGGTCTGTCTGCAAACAGCTGCAGGTACGCGGGGGCTGGGTGGGGGCAGCTCCGTCCATCCACTGCAGGGCACCTCCCTTCATCTCTCCTTGTCCAGGACAGCGGCCAGAGCCCTCGGGACTCGGTGAACAACGAGAAAACCCTTGAGAAGACTCTGGTAAGGCCGGGGAATGGCGGGCCTGCGTGCAGGGGGATGCAGCAGAGGGAGGGGTGGTCCCGGTCCCAGCCCCCTGACTGGGGTGGGCTGGGGGTAGTGGCTCCTGGGAAGGCTTCTTGGAGGAAGTGTGGAGTGGAAAAGCCCCAACCCGGGGCAGTGCAGGCCCCAGGACCCCCAGAGCTCTCTCCTCATGAGTGTCATCAGGTCCTGCCCTTGTCCCCGTGGCCGTGGGGTGGGTGCCTTGGGGACACACACCATGGCTGGGGCTTTTCCTCTTCCAGACCTCGAGCCAGTCAGACCTGGAGCAGAGCACCCCGGAGCCCAACAGCCTCCACGAGTCCCTGGGTGAGCAGCCACCCTGGTGCACCCCCTGCATGGTCCCAGCCCTGCTTGTGTCCTCACCCACGTCCCTGCCCTGCTGGCCCCTCTGGGCTCTGCTCCCCCTCCTGGGACACACACGGTCTGGGGTGACCACACAGCCCTCAGCCCCCTGACCAGCATCTCCTGCAGCAGCAGGGAGTGCAGGATTAGCTCTCTGTGGCTCTCTGTGTGCCCCTGGGACCCCCAGACCCTGGGACACTCATGAATGCCTCCTGGTCACCCACAGACGAACAAAGCCCAAGGTCAAGGGAAGCAGAGGAGGAGGATGACAAGGTGGCCCTGCTGACTCCCAGCAGCAGCAAGCGGGTGCCCTTGGCAGGGACACGCAGCCTCTGGAGTGGGTCAGGGGGCTTGGGGAGGGAGGTGCTGCTGAGACTTCAGCTCTGGCAGAGCCCACCGTGGGGTCTCAGAGGCACTGACACTGCCTTGTCCTGGCAGGGGAACCCCACACCACGCTCT